GTGTCAATGGTCCATTTGAGAGATAGGTGGCGGTAATGCACTTATAAGTCTGCGATCCGCCGTAAAACAAGAAGAAGAAGAAGAAGACACGTCACGCGCCGGCTGTCGAGGACGCTCTCAGGACGCGCTCAGGACAGTTCAGACATTGCAGTGCATCAGAGGTTAAAAAAAACGATATAAATACTGTTCAGTTTCTTACACAGACCGATCGTTTCATGTCTTTACACATCAATGTATCGTCACGAGCCGCAGGGTTTAATTTGGTTTTGTTTGTGTATGTTTTTTTTTTACTCTCAAAGCCGTGATTCCCATTCACTTCCATTATAGGACTGACAGACTGCAACGGTTTGAGTTAAAAATCTTCGTTTGTGTTCTACTGAAGAAACAAAGTCACCTACATCTTGGATGCCCTGGTGGTAAGCAGATAAACATCAAATTTTCATTTTTGGGTGAACTATCCCTTTAAGCAGCATTAACATATAATCTTGCCTTTGTAGAGTCATTTATGTGTTTTCTATGCTGTATAATCGATCCACAAGTACTCATATCAGGACCACGGACAGCTCTACAGACCAGAGTCATTTATGTGTTTTCTATGCTGTATAATCAATCCACAAGTACTGATATTAGGACCACAAACAGCTCCACAGACCAGAGTCATTTATGTGTTATCTATGCTGTATAATCACTCCACAAGTACTGATATCAGAACCACAAACAGCTCCACAGACCAGAGTTATTTATGTGTTTTCTATGCTGTATAATCACTCCACAAGTACTGGTATCATGACCACGGACAGCTCCACAGACCAGAGTCATTTATGTGTTTTCTATGCTGTATAATCACTCCACAAGTACTGATATCAGGACCACAAACAGCTCCATAGACCAGAGTCTGGACCTCTTTACTTCATTGTAGCACACAGTGTTCTTATCTCAGTGCTACGACGATCACAGGCAGTATCTCTGGCTCTGCAATGAGCATATGGCGCTGTTATACGACCACAAACGGCTGCTAGACAGCTATAAGTGCTTTGATTTCTGGTCACTCAGCTGGAGGTCGTGCTCTGTTTCAGAACCATGGAGAGCTCCAGTACAAAAGGGAACACATTATACACTTCAAAGTGCTCAATGCAAAAGCACAAAACTCAGAACAACTGCTTGCCTGCTCATTAAAAGACCAGCTGTCATTCTCTACATAGTCCTACAACTGTAAATATGCATAACTGGGGCCATTAAGGAGAACCTTAATAATCAGATTAGTGTTCAGAATGACTTTTAGAATGACTGTTAGACTTTGACATTTGCTCCTCTAATTTGAGTATTTGGTTACATGTTTGTATACAACAGTTCCAGCCAAGAGTAAACACATAAATGGGATTTCCATGTATTTGCATTTCATTTCCTCTCTTCTTTGGGTTTATTTATCATTTATAATTAATCTCAGGGAGTTTTATGGGGATGCATTCTCTGTAAAGCCGCTGCTGGAACAATGAAAAGGGCTGTGCAAATAAATTGGATTGAACTAAATTGTTGTAATTTATAATTAACTGGGCTGTTCCCTCTGTGTGTGGGCGCTTCTTGGTGTGAAATGCATCTGGGTTCACTTACACAAACGCGTGGTACAGCAGCGCCCATCCTCGTGGTCTCTCGAGCACGTCGTAGATGAGATTCTGTATCCGTCGCTTCCTGATATTATTCCTCTTCACGGGACGTGTGTAGCCAAGTGGCGTCTTGGCGAGCAGACCGATGTTCTGCGAGCCCCGTTTGAAGTCAGGTTCCCTGCCCGAGCCGACGAGCAGCAGCGCGCCGTCCCGTTCCTGCCCCGCGCACTGCTCCAGGTCTCCGGCCAGCGCGCTCTTCTGCTCGCGCGAGTCCTCGGCACCGTTAGTGGCATTTCTGGACCTGATTCCCATGTTCACTGCTCTCGAGCCTCGGCGCCGCGCGTGTGGAAGTCCGGGATGGGGCGCATGCCATGATCCGGACAAGGAAAGGGCGAGATCCTTAGTGGTCGTGGGTAATTTAAGGACCTCGTTCAGGAAGGGAGGCGCGAGAATGGGCTGTGGATTGATAAAAACATTCAAATCTGTCAAACGCACCCACGCTCTCATACATGACGCTCGGTTGCGTGTATCCCGATGTGAACGGAGCAGCATACAAACAGTGTTTCATGCAATACTATTCACCAACGCAACATCACGACTGAATATACAGAGAAACAAACGAGTCGGTTCTTCTAAGTGAATCTAACAGATAGAGCCCGACACTGCGATCTGATTCCCGAACGAATGACTCTTATGAGACGATTCTATTTAGTGAATCAAAGAAATACTTAAAACGGTTGCTGAAATATTCTGACTGAACACGTTATTACTATTGTTGGAAATTAAACAAGAACCTTTTATGTGTTATATTGTACTTCTATTGTAGGCTTAAGCATATGGCAACATGTATTTAAATATACACAAAATGATAACCAATGATATTTTGTTTTAGATAAAATAAGTAGGCTAATTAATGCATCACATATGCAACCTTTTTTTTCTTTTTAGTACGTGATGTAATAGCCTATAACGCTATACAACGACATAAAAGTCTGTAAAAAGTAATTAAAAAGTCGGTGTTATGTACATTAACATTTTTCAGGAATTGTTATATAATGTACTGTTAAAATCTACAATGATTTCATCATTTGTGACTGCTGAAGGCATTATGCAATACGATTTCACTCTGTCCGAATGTCTTCCGCGAGAATAGGCTACTAAAAGAATCGTTAATGGAACGAATCGAAATGAGAACGCGAATCGTTGAATTCATTACGATTCCCATATCTAATCACAGTCGCCTGGTTAAATGGAAAAATGTGTGGTTAGAAATGTTGATGGGCTCTTCAGCGCTGACAAAGAGCATCTGGTTCATCCGCAACTACGCCGTGCAACAATTTCATCGCCTCGGCTCGCGCCTGCAGCCTATACCGAGATGAGCAACACACATGATGTCTGAAAGCACAAATCTAACAGCGGTTCTGCTGTCAGCTGTACACACACAAACGCACACAGAGCTGCCTTACTGAATTCTCCGCGCGACCGCATGATTGCCGATTCGAATTGTTCTCGTGCTGCCGTTGCTTGTTGAGATGAGGGAGGAGGCTCAGACGGTGCTTCAGACACAAGCGCGAGACAGAGAGCTTGTGGGCACGTGACACACTACTTACATAGCATCTCTGCGCCTCGACAACGCAATATTGTGCATGCCATTGCAACCCAAAACCCCCAAGAGGCTGCTGGAGATGCTTTCACATGAATCACACGGCGGAAGTTAGCACACCTGAATTAATCCCGGGTGAATTGCTGGTAATCTTAACCTAAACAGTGTCACAAAGTGCACATCAAAGATCAGACTTGTGTTTCTACAGCAGTAGTTTGCAATCCTGGTCGTGGAGGACCACAGAGCACTGCATGTTTTGGATGTCCCTGTTATATGACACACCCAGCTCAGATCTTGGAGGATCTACAAATGAACAGATGACATAATTTACGTGTGTTAGTGATAGAATGTATTGGTCTCTGCTATATATTATGCAAAAAAGCAGAAGGTCAAATGGCTGTCCAAATATGCATTATTTATAAAACAGTAGGCGAACAATACCCAGATGATCTACTGCATCCGCTGAGATTACTTGCCAGTGGAGACTTTGTTACTCCATAAATCCAGGGGATCTGAAAAGCATCAGAATAAAAAAATTGACTGTGGATGGAAAAATGTTAAGAGTGGTTCTTTTCCATAATAGTACATTTTTATATCTTATGACCCTTCTCTTCAATAGTTTTTTTAGTTTTTATATGAAAAACAGAAACAAACAAACAAAAAACAAGCCTTATGACATTTCAACTGACATACAGGTGCATCTCAATAAATTAGAATGTCGTGGAAAAGTTCATTTATTTCAGTAATTCAACTCAAATTGTGAAACTCGTGTATTAAATAAATTCAATGCACACAGACTGAAGTAGTTTAAGTCTGGTTCTTTTAATTGTGATGATTTTGGCTCACATTTAACAAAAACCCACCAATTCACTATCTCAACAAATTAGAATACTGCATAAGACCAATACTATGAGCTTCTCCACCCTTCCTCCAGACTCTAGGACCTTGGTTTCCAAATGAAATACAAAACTTGCTCTCATCTGAAAAGAGGACTTTGGACCACTGGGCAACAGTCCAGTTCTTCTTTTCCTTAGCCCAGGTAAGCTCTGACGTTGTCTGTGGTTCAGGTGTGGCTTAACAAGAGGAACACGACAACTGTAGCCAAATTCCTTGACACGTCTGTGTGTGGTGGCTCTTGATGCCTTGACCCCAGCCTCAGTCCATTCCTTGTGAAGTTCACTCAAATTCTTGA